CAAGAAGTTATTTTAAAAAAGCAACAAATTAAACCCAACTAAAGCAGAACGGAGGAAATAAGAAGGGTGGGAGCAGAATCAATGAAATAGAAAATAAACCTATAATGGACAGAATTAACAAAGTCAGAAATTAACTACTTTAGAAGACAAGTACAATTGATAAATATGTTGCAAGACTGACTAAAAAATAAAGAAGCCAGGTGCAGTGGCGCACAGCTGTAATCCCAGCACTTTGGGAGGCCAAGGCAGCCAGATCATAAGGACAGGAGATTGAGACCATCCTGGCTAACATGGTGAAACCCCGTCCCTACTAAAAAATACAAAAAAATTAGCCGGGCGTGGTGGCGGGTGCCTGTAGTCCCAGCTACTCGGGAGGCTGAGGCAGGAGAATGGTGTGAACCTGGGAGGCGGAGCTTGCAGTGAGCTGAGATCGTGCCACTGCACTCCAGCCTGAGTGACAGAGTAAGACTCTGTCTCAAAAATAAATAAATAAATAAATAAATGGCACAAATTACCAATATCAGTGATGAAAAAAGAAATAATGCTATAGATTCTGATTCTATACATTTTAAAAGTTAAAAGAGAATATTACATAATGATGCCAAATAATATGAAAGTTTAGACCAAATGAACAAATTCCTAGAAAGGAGTAACTTAATCAAACTTACAAAAGAAGTAATATAAACTCAAATAGTCTTATATTGATTTTTAAAGTTGAACAAGCACTTCTAGACCTATGAAAAGACCTAGACAGCCACATAATAATAATGGGAAACTTCAACACCCCACTGACAGCATTTGACAGCATTCTGGACTTAACTTCAACACTTGACCAATCAGACCTAATAGACATCAGTAGAATACTCCGCCTATTTACCACAGAATATGCATTCTTCTCATCTGCACACAGAACATAATCCAAGGTCAATTACATTCTTAACCATAAAGCAAGTCTCAATACATTGAGAAAAGTTGAAATCATACCAACCATACTCTTGGACCTCAGTGGAATAAAAATAGAAATTAACACCAAGAAAACCTTCTAAAACCACACAATTACCTGGTAATTAGGGAATTTACTCCTGAATGACTTCTGGGTAAACAATAAAATCAAGGCAGAAATCAAAAAATCCTTTTAAATAAATGAAAACAGAAACATAGCATACCAAAATCTCTGTAATGCAGTAAAAGACGTGTTAATAGTAAAATTTATAGCACTAAACACCCACCTCAAAAAGCAAAAAATATCCCAAAATACCCAGAGGAACTAGAAGAAACGAGAACAAACCAACCCCAAAGCTAGCAGAGGAAAAAAAAATAACTAAAATCAGAGTGGAACTGAACAAAATTGAGACCCAAAAACTTATACAAAGAATTAACAAAACCAAAAGTTGGTTCTTTGGAAGGATAAACAAGATCTATAGACCACTAGCTAGATTAACAAAAAATAAAATGGAGAAGATCCAAATTAGCACGATCAGAAATGACACAGGTGACATTACAACCAATCTCACAGAAATACAAAAGAACTTCAGAGTCTATTATGAACACCTCTATGCACACAAACTAGAAAGTCTAGAGAAAAACGATACATTCCTGGAAACACACAATCTCCCAAGATTGAATCAGGAAGAAACTGAAACCCTGAACAGACCAATATCAAGTTCCAAAATTGAATCATTAATTTAAGAATGCCTACCAACCAAAAAGAAACTTCAAACCAGGTAGATTCAGAGCCAAATTCTACCAGACATACAAAGAAGAGTTAGTACCAATTCTGCCGAATGTATTCCAAAAATCTGAGGAGGAGGAACTAGCATCATCCTGATACCAAACCTGGCAAAGACACAATGAAGGAAAAAAAAAAAATACACAGGCCAATATCCCTGATGAACATAAATGCAAAAATCCTCAACAAAATACTAGCAAACCACAATGTTAATTCATCATGATTAAGTAGGCTTCATTCCTAGGATCAAGGTTGGTTGAGCATATGCAAATCAATAAATGTAATTCACCACATAAACAGAATTAAAAACAAGAACCATAGGATTGTCTCAATAGACACAGAGAAGGCTTTCAGTAAAATCCAATATCCCTTCATGATAAAAACCCTCAAGAAATTAGGCATCAACAGAACATATCTCAAAATAATGAGAACCATCTATGCCAAAGCCGTAACCAACATCATACTGATCAGACACAAACTGGGGGATTTCCCTTTGAGAACTGGAACAAGACAAGAATGTCCACTCTCACTACTCCTATTCAACATAGTACTGAAAGTGCTAACCAGAGCAATCAGACAAGAGAAAGAAATAAAAGGCATCCAAATAAGAAACAAAGTCAAACTATCTCTCTTCACAGACAATCTGATTCTATACCTAGAAATGACTTCAGTAAAGTTTTAGAATATAAAATCAATATACAAAAATCAGCAGCATTTCTACATACCAATAACGTTCAAGTGAGAGCCAAATCAAGAATGCAATCCCATTTACAATAGCCATACAAAACAATAAAATACTTAGAAATACATCTAACCAAAGAGGTGAAAGATATCTACAAGGAGAACTACAAAACACAGAGAAAGAAATCATAGATGACACAAACAAATGGAAAAATATTACATGCTCATGGATTGGGAGAATCAATATAGTTAAAATGGCCGTACTTCCCAAAGCAATCTACAGATTCAGTGGTGCTCCTATCAATACCAACATTATTTTTCACAGAACTAGAAAAAAACTATTCTAAAATTCATATGAAACAAACAAACAAAAAGCAGAAAAGCCAAAGCAATCCTAAGCAAAAGAACAAAGCAGAGGCATCACATTACCTGACTCCAAATTATACTATAAAGTTCCAGTAGCCAAAACAGCATGGTACTGGTACAAAAACAGACATATGGACCAATGGAACAGAATAAAGAGCCCAGAAATAAAGCCACACACCTATAGCCATCTGATCTTTGACAAAGTTGACAAAAACAAGCATTGGGGAAGGAATTCCAAGTTTAGTAAGTGGTGCTGGGTTAGCTGACTAGCCATATGCAGAAGAATAAAACTGGACCTCTACCTTTCACCATAACAAAAATTAAGTCAAGATGAATTAAAGATTCAAATGCAAGACTTTGAACTACAAGAATCCTAGAAGAAAACCTAGGAAATTCTGAACATCGGCCTTGGGAAATAATTTATGACTAAGTCTTCAAAATCAATTGCAACAAAAACAAAAATTGACAAGTGGGACCTAATTAAACTAGAGAACTTCTTCACAGCAAAAGGAACTATCAACAGAGAAAACAGGCAATCTACAGAATAGGAGAAAATATTAGCAAACTATGCATTCGACAAAGGTCTAATACCCAGAATCTATAAGGAATTTCAATAATCGAACAAGCAAAAAACAAATAGCCCCATTAAAAAATGGGCAAAAGACATGAACAGACACTTCTCAAAAGAAGACATACAAGCAGCCAACAAACATGGAAAAAGTGCTCAACATCAAAAATCATCAGAGAAATGCAAATCAAAACCACAATGAGATATTATCTCACATCAGTCAGAATTATTATTATTAAAAAGTAAAAAGCAACAGATGCTGGCAAGACTACAGAAAAGTGGGGATGCCTGCATACTATTTGTGGAATTGTAAATTAGTTCAGCCACTATGGAAAGCAGTTTGGAGATTTCTTGAAGAACTTAGAACTACCATTCAACCCAGCAATCCCATTATTAGGTATATATCCAAAAAAAAAATTATTTTACCTAAAAGACACATACACTTGCATGTTCATCACAGCACCATTCACAATAGCAAAGACATGGAATCAACCTAGGTGCCCATCAACAGTGGACTGGATAAGGAAAATGTGGTACATATACATGTGGAATACTACACAGCCGTCAAAATAACAAAATCATGTGCTTTGCAGCAAAATGGATGTCACTAGAGACCATTTTCCTAAGCAAATTAATGAAGAACCAGAAAATCAAATACCACATATTCTCACTTGTAAGTGGGAGCTAAACATTGAGTACTCATGGATATCAAGATGGCAATAATAGAAACTGGGGACTACTAGTGGGGAGGGCTAAGAGTTGGAAAACTAATTATTGTGTAGTACGCTCAGTATCTGGGTGATGGGATCAGTCATACCCCAAACCTCAGCATCATACAATATGCCCAGGTAACAAACCTGCACATGTCATGTACCCCCTGAATCTAAGTTAAAATAATATTTTTAGTTGAAGTTTTTAAAATTTAAAATGTCCCCATTAAGAAATCTCTGGGCCCAGAAGGCATCACTGGTGAAAAATTTACAAACATTTAGAGAAGAGTAAGACAAAAAAATGATGCTATCCAAAATGTAAGGGTGGGCATCGCCCAACTCATTTTATGAGGACAGAATAACCTTGATATCAAAACCCAATAAGGACATTATAAAAAAAGAAAATTTACAAGCTAATGTCCCATAAACATAAATGAAAAGAATCTCAAATGAAAATTAGCAATTCAAATCTCATAGCATATTAAAAGAAGAAAACATCACCTTCAAATTGAGTTTGTTCCAGGAATATGAGGATAATTTAACATTAAAATTAACCAATATAATTCACCACAATAATAAAGGGGAAAATAATTATTTTATTTAATAAAACTATAACTGTAAAGATGTTCAATAAAATTCTACACCCATTGATATGATTTGGCTGTGTCTCCACCAAAATATCAACTTGAATAGTATCTCTCAGAATTCCACATGTTGTAGGAGGAACCCAGGGGGAGCTGACTGAATCATGGGGACTGGTCTTTCCCATGCTATTCTCATGATAGTGAGTAAGTCTCATGAGATCTGATGGGTTTATCAGGGGTTTCCACTTTTGCTTCTTCCTCATTTTCTCTTGCTGCCGCTATGTAAAAAGAGCCTATTGCCTCCCACCATGATTCCGAGACCACTCCGGCCATGTGGAACTGTAAGTCCAATTAAACCTCTACCTTTTGTAAATTGCCGAGTCTCAGGTATGTCTTTATCAGCAGCATGAAAACGGACAAACACACCCATTTATGATAAAACTTATTAGCAAACAAGGAATATAACATTATTAATCAGTTAAAGAGTATCTATAAAAATCCTACCAGAAAAATCATACTTTATGATCAAATATTGAAAGCTTTTCCCCAGAGATAAGAAATGGGACAAGATTGCCCAAAACCAGCACTTCTACTCGTCATTTGACTGGGATCCTAGCCAAGGCAATAAGACAAGAAAAAACACAAAGTATAAGAACTGCAAATAAAGACATAAAATTATCATTACTCATAGGCATCTTGAGTGTATATGTAGAAAATCTACACAAATCTGTAGGTAAACTCTAAAAACACAAAGAGAATGTAGCAAGTTTACTGGATACAAAATAAATATGTAAAAGTCAATTATACATTTATATATTAGCAACACCAAATAGAAAATAGTTTTTTTAAACATACCATATATAATAAAAACACCAAATGCCTACATGGTATCAAAGACACATACAGCTGGTGCCCATGAACACACACCCCCATCTGGAGGCTTTATGTTACATGGTTCAGTCATTTAGTTTCTCTGGGTCACTGCTTACTCATCTTTAAATTGCCAATACTGTGTTAGGTTTGGATTGATCACTTGTGCGACTGCTGGTAGTTTTAAAATCCCATAATTCTCTTCTTGTCTCATTCATTAATTCTGCAAATACTAGCTGATATTCACCAAGTACCAGGCATGGTGCTAATCTGATAAACATAGGACAGATGGTAAATGTTTGTAGGATAAATGAGGATGTGAGGCCCCACTGCTGTCTTTACAGAGCTCTAGCCTAGTGGGGAAGCCTGTACTCCAAGCACACAGTCATATCATAGTGACTCCTGTTGTGATAGCAAGAGGCACTGGATCCTGGGAGCAGGTGGGAGTGGGGAGTTCTCAGAGGAGGTGCTACATGAGTGGCTTCTTACAGGACATCAGAAGCCAGCCCACCCTGGGTGGAGGAGCAAGGGTGACTGGGAGAAATAAGGAAGTAGAGTGTGGGAAGGCCCCTTCCTGTTGTAATGTTACGTTGACATTACATTCATTCAATCTGTTTACACCAAAAAGTTTCTACTAAAAAGTCTGTAATGGAGAAGGCTTAATATATTCTCTCCACTTTATGTACTGAGGATCAATAACTTCTGATGATAGAATGCAAGCACTAGAATATTCAGGGACACAGGTGTTGATACAACCCTCAAAGCTAGCTATGTCATTGGCTGTTAGCCCTGCTATGTTCCAGAATGGTTGAGGCTGGGAGTTAAACCCCCAGCAGCCAGCTCAGCCAGCTGTGGCTTCTCTCCAGGTTCCAGCAGCACCATTCCTACCTCCCTGATGCTAAGACCCAGAAAGCTTCCATGATTCTCCCACGATGCATCTGTGCTCATCACAGTTCAGGCTCTGCCCATGAGAAAGCCCCCTTCAGACACATGTTGGATCCCAATTTCTTGGTCGTCGCCAGGATCAGAGAGTAAACTGTTGGCCTGCTTTTCATTTAAAAGAGAAAAAAAAGTACATAAGAAACTCGCCCAAAGTGCAAGTCATTCCACATGGCAAGTAGAGGAATTGATCCAACCCATTTTCTATGTTCTTCCTTTCTCCCCAGGAGGCTTTAGGGAGCTCATCTACCTGACACTGGCCTTCCATAAAGGGGGCAAGTAAGACAGAGAAGGAGCTTTGGACAATGCAACTGATATTATATTTTTTAAACCCCCTAGCGATGAACAAACTGTGCTTGTTTCCCTAATAAACATAAGGCTTTGCAAAAATTGTTTTATAAAGGGAAAGAAAAAAAGAAATTTTAAAGCTGTGCTACTGTTTCAGCCAAAATGGCTGGGAGAAGCAACAGCCATCTCTCCGCAGGAGCAGCTGCACCCAGGAGGCCCGCCCTGAGAAGGGAGGCAGCGTCCCACAGCCAGAAAGAACAGCAGAGCAGCTCGCAAGGTCATCTGTTGGGGAGGAGGTGTTTTCGTTACAATTGCGATTGTTGTGGTAGTAATCAGTGGTGATTATCATCCCACTCACCCAAACCCAGCCCGACGCCTCCGCCTCCGAGGGGGCTGCTGCCTTTTTCGGAATGGTTGTAGAAAGGAGATTAGCATCAACACTCCAACAGGTAACCCATCCACAGGCCTCCCTGAGAAGGGAGCTGAATTACTTGCATCAATATTTGAAAAACAAGCAAGGCATATCTCAGACTCAGGAGATATGCTGGAAACTAGAAAAAATTGATTTTTTTTTTTCATATTCACTGCCAGATATTGCTGTGCTACATGGCTATATGCAGATAGAGGACACGGTGAGGCTTATCATGCCAGTGATAGATCCCGCACTGTCTTTAAAGGAATCAATCATTAATTTAAATCGTTTATAGCATGACTGTTAGCTTGTTAACCCATTTTCTTCTGTGCAGGAAGAAATTGAGTGACTGTGAGTATACGAGCCTTGGAACGAAAGAGATTTTTTTAACGGGTCGTTGCTGATGGGTCTTCTAAGTCCTGCTTCTCACTTTGTCATTTTAAAGAAAGATTTTATTTTGAAAATTAATATCACAGAACCAATACGTGCGTGTGGAAAGTTCACATAGTGAACTCCTAGAAATGTGAGAGGTAAAAATTCGAACATCTCCCAACCCTCTCCAAGCCCCATCTGCAGGAAGAGTCACCTGGGTGGGCTGTCACCTCCACCTGTGAACTCACCACTTTTGAACATCTCCGAACCCTCTCCAAGCCCCATCTGCAGGAAGAGTCACCTGGGTGGGCTGTCACCTCCACCTGTGAAATCACCACTTTTCTTTCTTTCCTTCTTGTCCCTAAGGAAGTGTAGGCGTCACGGGAGACTTGGTTGAGTGGTTTTCTCTTTGTGCCAAGCTCTACTTCCTTGGACTGAGACCTGCATTCTTCCAGCTAACCATCATGCATTTGAAGACCAAGTCATATGTTCCAATGACTCTGCATTCGTGGCAGGCTCTGCTGGGAGCCAAGGGGGCACACAGAGGCAGGGCCTGTGTTCCTGGGGCCTGTGATCCAAGGGAAGAGGTGAGACACAAGCCCTACAGGAACCTGCATGTGCCACCGTTGCCATCAGAGCTGCCGCAGCTGTGTCCCACAGTGGCAGCCAGGAGAGCCCACAGCAGGAAGGCTCATGCTGGTGAGGAGGTCTGGCAGGGTCAGCATGGAGTAGAGGACTGAAGCGGGTCTTGGAGGATCTTAGAGGATGAGGAAGCTCCAGGAGGGAGGCTCACAGCAGTGCCTAGGTGCAAGGCAGGTGGCCTGGAGCACTGAGGAAGGACCGCTGACCACTAGCTGAAATGAACATTGTGGGTGGGGAAGGGGTTTGGCCTCAGACTCCTGGACTTCTGGGGAGTCCCGATTTCAGATGTTCTTTCTCACTGTCAAGCAACTTGTCAGACTGAGCCTTCTGATAGTAACTGGGAAGATAGTGCCAGCTCTTGTAGGGAAATGTGAGGCTGTTGGAAAGTGAGTTTAGTCCTTAATGCACCAATAAGGAGATTGGAATTCATCCCGTGGGCTGTAGAAATCCATCCAACGTTCTAGTCCAGAGAACCATCCGAGATTGCTACACTACTGTGACCAATGACCACCAATGTGGTGGCTTAAAACAGCATAAATTTCTTCTCCTACCCTTCTGGGGGTCAGAAGTCTAGAATGGGTTTGTAGGGCTATGTTCCTCCTCCCAGCGAGAACCCATTCCCTTGTCTCTTCCAGCTTCTAGATGCTGCCTATGTCCCCTGGTCCATGACTCCTTCCTCCATGTTCAAAGCCCACAGCACAGCACCTCCAATCTCTTTCTCTGCCTCCATGGTCACTTTCCTTCTTGCTTTGATCTCCTGCCTCCTTCGTATAAGGATCCCTGTGATTATATCCAGTCCACCAAGACCACCTCTCCATTTCAAGGTCCTTCATCCCAACTGCAAAGTCCTTTTTGCTGTGTAAGGAACAGATTCACAGACTCTGGGGACTAAGATGTGGACATCTTTGAGGGAACATTACTCTGTCCATCACAAAAGTGGCCCAGTAAATAATAACAACAGTAATAATGCTAAGTGGAGTGCATTGAGCACTATTTAATGCCAGGTGCTGCTTCTGTGTTTTGTCTAACCACTGCCATGTGGTAGATAATACTCCCACTTTACAGAAAGACAAACCGAGATTCAGAGCTGAAATGACTTGCTCCATGTCCTCCTAACTTATAAAAACCTGTCTTGGCACCCAAGTGTCTGACTCCAAACCACAGATTTCTACCAAAGCAGCATTGGAGGACACAGATGTGATATTTTGTGCTGGGTTGTGGTAACAGCTTAGTTTCCATAGGTGTTTGTGACCTAAGTAGCCTGGAAAATGTCTTTACTGAAGCATGTTATTCACCAAACTTGCACCCAATGCCTATTAGAGACTGGGCTCCAACCAAGTCCTGATCCTGAGGGTCTCAGCCCAGTGCAGGTGGCAGAGACCCTCTGAACCTCCCACGAGTGCAATAACAGGCCATGAACGAGGCACCACTGGGTCCAAAGGAGACAGCTCTTCCCTCTGTCTGGAAAGGTTAGGGAAGATTTCCCAGAGGGGAAGACATTTGAGCGGAGACTTGAAGGTGAAGAATGAGGAGGATTTTATCATGTGCAGGAGGTTTGGGGCTGGGAGGGGAGGACAAATCAAGCAGAGGAAATTGCCAGTGCAAGAGTGTGTGTGTGTGAGAGAAAGAGAGAAACAGAGACAGAGCGAGGCACAGAGACAGAGAGACACAGCAACACGGAGAGACAGAGAGGCACAGAGACAGAGATACAGAAATACAGAGAGACAGACAGAGAGACACAGAAATGCAGAGAGACAGAGAGACAGATAGAGAGGTACTGAGACAGAGAGATACAGAAATAGAAAAAGAGACAGAGTTAGACAGAGAGAAAGACACAGAGAGAGACAGAGAAACACAGGGGCATGAAAGAGAAAAGACAGAAGGGAAGCCACGTACGCAGAGGCAGAAGAAAGTGAGAGACAGAGAAGGGGACAAGGAGTGAGGACTCCAGAAGCTCTGGACTAGGGGGGAGTGGGGGCCTGAGGAAGGTGCGTCCGCGCTGCATTGAGAGCACTGAGTGTAGAGCACAGCCGGGGAGGAGGGCCCCGGGAAGGTGGGGGTGACCGCCTGGGGTGCGTCCTGCATGGCTAGGAACCAACTGTGCAAATGTGGGGCAAGTGTCTCAGCTCCTCTGGTACCACTTTCCTATCTAGTAACAGAGTTAGGTCTGATTATTTCTGGGTCTCTCAACATTCCAGATGGGCTGGTGCTAGCTGCTCTTGGAGCTTCCCCACTGTGTTGGTGTGACTGCCCCAGGACAGACATCGCTGCTCTTCCGCTCCTGGCCCCTCCAGTGTGTGCTGATGGTTGAGGAAGGGACTCTGGAGATGCCGGCCCCCCAGCCATCAAGCCCAGGAGGCCCCATTCCATGGAGCCCCCAGGGCCGGCAGCAAAGCCTGCGGCTGGCAAGGGGAGCAGGTGTGTTTGCAGATTGGGTGGAGGCCGGCTCCCTGTGGCGCTCCTCTCCTCTCCCTCCACTCTCTCTCGTCTTGAAAGACCATCTCACAATCCAACTGCAGGACACACTTGCGCTCAGGAGCTCATCAACTGAGGTGCTACAAACGTGAAAAACTGGAAACAAGCTGAACACCTGCCCACAGAGGATGGCTGAGTAAATGATATGCATCCATATGTGTTACATTTTGGAGTCATTAAAAAACACGTTTATGAAATGTTAATGGTCTGGGAAAATGCTCATAACAAAATGTTAGGGCAAAAAACAGTTTCTACTTTCTGGTTTTCAAACTAGGAATATAAGTTAATCATTCATAATCAAATTCAAAAAGCAATAAAAAATAAAAATTTGAGATTGTTTGATAACAATCATCTATGTGTATCTGCATATGTAGACCTGTGTGTGTCTGTGTGCATGTGAATAAAAGGAAATATACCAAAATGCTAACAGATGTTATCTCCAGGAGGGAGAATTTTGGATAATCGTTATTTTATTTATATTTTTCTGTATTTATACATTTTTATAGTGAGCATGGATTAATTTTTTATTCTGAAAATAGAAAAAATATATATGAACTAAAGAATGGTTATTTGCACCACTTCAGATGGGACCATGAGGCCGTGCCGTGAGCTCTGTGTTGGGTGGTGATATCTTTGGCTTAAGGCAGCCTCTGGTTGGGTGAGCACAGACATTCTGAGATGTCGGCTTTCTGGGTGTTTGATACCTGGAGATGCCTCCGAGCCAAATGGGGCCCATACAAATCGTTCCATCTGCCCAAAGTGGTGCTGGCATGCCCTGTACCACCCCAGGAGCAGGGCCTCATGGGAGGCATTTAGGTCCTGGGGGCTCCACCTTTATCAATGGGTTCATGATGTCATAAAAGGGCTGGAGTGAGTTGGGTCCTCTTTGCCCTTTCACCCTCCAGAGAAGGCAGCGTTTTCAAGGCACCATCTTGGAAGCAGAGAGCAGTTCTCACCAGACACTGAACTGCAGCCCTTTGGCCTTGGACTTCCCAGCCTCCAGAATGGTGAGAAATAAGTTTCTGTTCTTTACATTAGTTTTTCTTTTTTCACTTTTTTTTTTTTTTTTTTTTGAGATGGAGTCTCGCTCTGTCGCCCAGACTGGAGTGCGGCAGCGCAATCTCGGCTCAGGGTGACTTTCGCCTCTTGGGCTCAAGTGATTCTCCCGCCTCAGCCTCCTGAGTAGCTGGGACTACAGGTCCACACCACCACACCTGGCTAATTTTTGTATTTTTAGTAGAGATGGGGTTTCACCACGTTGGCCAGGCTGTTCTCAAACTCCTGACCTCAAGTGATCTGCCCACCTCGGCCTCCCAAAGTGCTGAGATTACAGGCGTGAGCCACTGCGCCCAGCCAGTTTCTGTTCTTTATAAATTACTCAGTCTGTGATTCTCTGTTGTAGAATTGACTGAGACAGTCAAAGGCATTTGTTTTACAATTCATGTGTCTGCATCCTTTCCCAGGTCCTGAGGCTGAGGATGAAGATGAGGCCCCTACCCAGAGCTGGGAGAGGTGGAGCTGCATGAAGGTGCCACGTTGTGAAGCAAAACCTTAACATCTCATCCCCTTATCTTTCAGGGGATTCTGTTCTGGGAAGTGGCTCCCAAGAAATTCCTGGTGGATTGTGGGTGCTCTGAGGGTGAAGAGTGAAGGAGGAAGATAAAAAGGAGCAGCCGCAGCTTTCCAGTGTAACCCCCGTCTGCTCTGCCCCACTGCCCAGACACCTGGCGTTGGGCATCAGTGGAGCACGAACACTGTTCTCTAGGCACATCCATTCCGGGACCATTCTCACATCCTGAGGATAAATTTCTACAACACTCATGCTGTGCTCTCCCTGAAAATTTTGCCTCTGTTTTGAGCCATTATAATGATTCAAGTAGAGACTTCAGAGAAATACTGCCTCTCGTGAAAAAGTCTCAGTAAATACACTCCTCAAAATTTTCATTCTTAATATATCAGTAGCTTTTCAGTTCATTATAGTGTTATTAGTCAGTCTTCATAAAAGTGCTATGCATCTTTATTAAAAATGGAAGTTCACATCATTTTATGTTCCCATAAAAATGGGTGGTGGTAGCTTTGATTAATTTCTTCACATACAGTGAACTTTACAGCAAATTGGACAGTGTAATTCAATTCCTATTTCTGCAGATTTTTTTGTTGGTAGAAAATTGATATCATTCATATGTAATCATATTGCCTTTGCAAGAGATATTTAAGAAATAATATCCTGAGGTAATGATCGCGTGGCTTAATTATTAATACCGTACTTTCACATGTGGAGTGCGCATTCCTTTTATCAAGCTTGACTTCTATCAGAAAATATTTCTTCAGTTCAGATTCAGCTGTGTGTGCCACCGACGTGCACACGAGTGTGTGTGCTGGCACTTTAAAATTGTTTCTTTTCTTAACGGCTTGAGTGTCATTTCAAGGGTAATCATTGGTTTGAAGAGGTCTAACAACCTAACTATAAAGTCCAAGCCAGAGGGAAACTTGAAAAATAAGGACCAAAATTCAAAGGGTCCCCACCCACCAGCTACTCCCCAGATGCCAAGCAAATCTACTGGGTCTCTTTCGAATGAAACAATTGCAGACCAGAAAAAGTTGATCAGGCTTTGGATGCTGTATTTGGGCTCTCCAGAGAAGCAAAACGTGTGTGTGTGTGTCTCTGTGTGTGTGTGTGTGTGTGTGTACAGAGAGAGAGAGAGAGAGGTTTTTTAAAGTTACTTTTTTTAAGACGGAGTCTTCCTCTGTTGTCCAGGCTGGAGTGCAATGGTGCAACCTTGGCTCATTGTAACCTCCGCCTCCCAGGTTCAAGCTTCAGCCTCCTGAGGAGCTGGGATTACAGGTGTGCACCACCACGCCCAGCTAATTTTTGTATTTTTAGTAGAGATGGGGTTTCACCATATTGGCCAGGCTGTTCTTGAACTTCTGGCTGCAAGTGATCCACCCACCTTAGCCTCCGAAAGTGCTGGAATTACAGGCATGAGCCACCGCGTCCAGCCGAGAGATTTTAAGGAATTGGCTCACATGACGGATGAGGCTGGCAGGTCTGAAATCTGCAGGACAGGTGAGAGTCAGGGAAGAGTTGATGTCATCATCTAGAGTCCAGAGGCTCTCTGGCTGCCTGGAGCAGGATTCCTACCGTGGGTCATGCTGCAATCCCAGCACCTTGGGAGGCTGAAGCTGGAGGATTGCTTGAAGCCAGGAGCTCAAGACTAGCCTGGGCAACAGAGCAAGACCCTGTCTCTAAAAAATTTTTAATTTTTTTTTTTTTTTAAGAATTCCTTCTCCAGAAACCTTTGCCTTTGCTTGGAAGACCTTCATCTGATGGGACGGGGCTCACACACGTGATAGAAGGTCATCTGCTTTACTCGAAGTCCACTGATTAGACGCTCATCACATGGAAAAACACCTGCGCAGCAACATCTGGACTAGGGTTTGGCTGTCAGCTGGGTGCCATGGCCGAGCCGAGTCGACAGGTGAAGTCAACCCTCTCAGGTGTTCTGTGAGTGCTGCCTGGGCCATCCTTGTCACATGCCCCTCTTCTCAAGGAGGGAGGCCCCATGAGTGCTCCCCAACAGCCCATGAGTGCTCCCGACAGCCCCATCCCATCGCCCTGGCACAGGCTTGTCCTCTCAGGAATACGTGGTCCCCAGCACTCCTCCCAGGCCACTCTCCACCCTGACTCCTGAGGCATTCCAGCTACTTCCGCTCCTGAGATCTCTTTCCGGGTTTGCCGTCAGTCTTTCCCTGAGGACGTCCCTGCCTTGTGGCCATGGACATCCTGTTGGGTTGGTGCAATTAGGGTCCGCTGGCATGCATTTGGCAGTGACTAGGAGCCCTGGTTCTGGCCGACACGTGCGTCCAGAGCCTAGCTGGGGCTCATCTTGAGGCTGGGATGAGAGAAGGAGCTGGGCCTTCTCCCAGGCAGCAGGCTCTGTGGCACAGTACTGGTCCCTCTGAGCGTGTCTGGTGGCCCTGGGCTGCTCTGTGGCTGCTGTGGGGGCCAGGAGCCTCGCAGGGCTTGGCACCTAGGAGCTGGATTCCAACCGAAAGGCAGCCAGGCCGTGAGCACATCTGTGTGCTCCTGACTGCAGCTGACAGAGTCAAGAACGCATCGCGGGACCTGGAAAATTCATGAATAAAACACAGCTTTGGGGAACAAAATACAGCTTTGGGGAAAAGATAGATTGATGAACTACACCACTGTGAAGCCCACCTTCTTGCCCCTCTTCTTCCAGATAGTGTTGTGGGATTTGAGGCTCCTATGCCAGGTGGTGGCTGAACGCCTGGCTCAGGAAGAAAGGGAATGAAACATTGCCTGAGGAAAAGTGGGTGGAGCCCAACATGGGGGTCCTTGTTCCATCGCAAGCTCTTCACTAAGGAAGAAAACTGATATGTGCAAGGGCCAAGACAATGGTGTGTGACACACTCACCTGTGTGTGCATGTGTGCCCACACACATATGGATGGACACACCCACAGACACAAAGACACACACGTAAACACACACAGACACACGGAGTCAGACACACGTGAACACACAAAAACATACATGGATACACAGAGACATATGGACATACACAGAGACACCCATACACATGGACACACCTGCAGACGCACACATGAATACACACAGACACACACAAGAACATACAGACACATACCCACAGAGACACACCCATGGACACCCACACACAATTAATTCACACTCACACCCAATACATATCCACATACCAACTCACACAATACACACATGCACAGACACACACAGGCACAGCCACCTACCTACCCCCCCCCACATTCTCAGCCACACGCTCACACACTGATTCACATGCACAGGCTGTATGCTGTTTGCTGGGTGCACAGTCGGTGCCCACCTCCCCCAGCTTTCTCTGCAGGAGGCCCTGGGCATCATCCCCGGGCTGTGGGGAGAGCACCCCGTGCAGACCCCCTGCCTGGGGAGATACGGCCCTGCAGGGTGCCGTGTGCCCTGATGCGGTGCCAGGCTGTGCCATTCCGCTGGGTCCCAGGAGAGCTCCCCAGGCAGCAGTGCAGGCAGCATGGCCTGCTCCCAGCACACACGCTGCTCCCTTCAGGGGTGGGATGGCTTTCCCAGAGCACGTGTGGAGTCCAAGCCAAGTGAAGCCCCTCTGTGCTGGCACTGTCTAGCCTCTGACCCTGGCCGACACAGGTAAGGGCAGTACCCCCATACCTGTGCCCCCCCAGCATGCTCCTGACCCTGGGAGCAGAGCCAGTCGTGGCCAGGTGATGGCTTCGGTGCGCTAATGGTCGTGGTTTCCACCTGGAGCCTTCACAAGATGACTGTCATCCCTCCTGCACAGCCCCAGCCCTGGCCCTGGCCCCCTGGACACCACCTTCCCCTGGGCCCTGTGCTGGCTGCATCCTGGAGGATGCTGAGCTCCCACGCTCTGCAGAGACCTAAGAGAACCACCCACCCTAGACATTCTCCTTTAATTAAAGCAACACACCAAATAGAGGTTCTGCTGAATAGCAACCCCCCTTCCCGTCTTGGAGCTCCTGCCATGCAGTCTTCAGACAGTATTTAGGTCTATGGTTGGAGCCCCAAATTGAGAGAAAAAAGGATGACCTGCTTTTCTTAAATCACAATCTAAACTTGCTTGCAAGGAGCTGAACTACAGGCAGTGTTCCCTGCGGCTTCTCAAGACGGGTGCTTTGTCCTTGAGCATCTAGACAATTGAGCAAGAGCTTTCTGGAACTTCCCCAAGGAGAGGGAACCAGGCAAAGGAAGGATTTGAAATCAACAGGTCAGGCGATAGTGTGTGGGCTCTGCGCGGGAGGGGAAGATGTTTCTGGCTGTGAGAGGTCCGCCGCGTGCAGACAAGGAGCAGAGGACTTGGGCATGACAATGCCATCTCTCCAGCTCATCGGGGAAAAGTCCAGAAAGAGATGAGCTTCTGGGACTAAAGGCACATGAAAGGCATATTGCAGGGAAGGGGAGCACCTGTGGGGCCTAACAGTCCCAGAGGGTGCCCATCCCACGGGGACCCACACGGCTGTGGTGTCCTTCAGTGGGCGTCAGCCTCCTGCAGACCCCATGGGTAGACACTGCCACTCCCACTCACAGGTGAAGACGCTGACCCTCAGAGAGACTGAGTGACCTCACATGTGGGACCGAGGCTCAGCGACCATGCTGGGATCTACCCCTGAGCAGCCGGGATCTTTTGGGGAAAATGAACTCTTCTAGGGACAATAAAACATGAACAAAATTTTGTGTCTCCATATAGTTTGGACGGATCAAAAGATGTCTGGAATATGAGCATGTGTACTTGCTTTCTGTTTGAAACACACGACCACACCCTCCACGACATCAGCATGAAGAAAGAGGGACCAGCCGCGGTCCCCAGGGCCAGCCCGGGAGAGGTACCTTTGGGACAGTTTCCCTCCGGGGAACCGGTGTGAGGCAATACCGCCTGGAGAGAAGGATAAAGGGGCCTCGCCTCAGGGCACAGCAGCCAAGAAAGTCCCCTCACGTCCTCCGCAGCTCTGCTCTCAAGAAGAGTCAGGAAACCTCCAGGAATTGCCGCCTCGGGTGATTTCAGCCGTTCCGTGCTCCAGCTGGGACTGGCTACAAACCTCACCAAATGCGAGGGGAGTGGCTTTGACCTCGGGCTCTGTGCCTATCGTTTTCACCTGAAACAGAATTGACTTCAGCACAGCAGCAAAACAAAGACAGCTCTGAGTTATACTGTAATTCACAGCGGGAGATTTACGAATATTATTTTCCTGTAAAATCTAGCATTTTTCTCGTTGCTACTTGCAACCTGTAAGTGGTATAAAGCTGTGCACCTAGCAGGATGCCGCGCTGCCTGTGCGCGGGGTGCCCACGTGGGTACACAGCCCCCATAAATTGTGCCTTTGTGTTTAACTTGTCTAATCAGCTCTCCATATCAAAACTTCATAAGTGGTTGCTTCTCATTTAAAGGTCTAGTAAAACCGCAATTACTATGGCTGTAAGACGCCTTGTTCCGAAAAGTGCATTAAATAGTTTTATAGATGTGGTTGGAAACACTTGTGCAGTTGTGTTTGCGAAAGCGAATGAGTTCATTAATAATGGGATCCTGAGACAGAAAAATAAGTTGGGAGCTGTGAAAACCACTTGGGCCTTTGAAGCTCGCTCTTGGATGTAATGTTTGATGTCGGGACAATTGTTTCTACTTCATTAAAAGAAATTGAGGTGTAACCTTAGTCAGCTTAACAGACCAGTGGCATTTTGGCTGTAGCCTTTGGAGCAAAAGTCTGGATGAGAAAGAAAAGCCAAGGGTTTCCTCTGAAAATAAAAGACGGACAGCCTGCCTCCTGGCGAGGTGTTTGCAGCCAGCGGGATCAGCAGCTCAAGCTCAGGAGCCTGGCGACTGCAGGCTGCCCCCAGACCCACGGACGAACAAGGTCACCAGCCGGGATGCTCTGGGGTGGCGTGGTCTCCAGGTTCTTCCTGCATGACTTTGGAAAACAGGTGATGTCCCAACAAGGACGCATCCTCGTCTCCCGCCCCTGCGTTTGAGCTCCAGCAGGCTGGTCCAACTTCACACATTTAGACTGGAGACGCAGGATGTCTTTGAACACGGATGAAGAGGGTCCCAGAGCCCAGAGCTCCATCTCTCCATCCGCATAGATGCTGCCGGCCACACAGGCACATTTCCAAAGTGCGTTTTTTGAAAAATGAAATCTCAGATTTGCTGTAAATTCAGGCCAGGAAGGATCTAGCAGATGGGCAATGTGTAAGTTACAAACCTAAGGGAAGCTTTTGCATTTACAAAAAAAAAGAAAAGAAAAAGAAAAAAGAAAAAAAAACACTCTTAAATTGCAGCTCTTAAAATAAAGGAAGATTTTCTGTTTTCCATAGTGACTCACTAAACCTTTATTTAGACAGTTGGTAAAAACACCACATCACATATTTCACATGTTTTTTTTTTTTTTTTCCAATGCTGCAGTTTAGTTTAAAACAGTATCATGTTTTTTCTTCTAGAGGGAAGCAGAAATCTACAGTAAGGCATTTTTGCCTTTTTAAAAAATGAAACCGAAATGTATTTTGGAATGGTTAATATTCCCAGTCAGACCCACAGCACAGCCCCCTTTGGTGCACATATTAAGGAGAAGGATTAGGACTGTTACCGGGTTTTGTTCATTTGCTGTTCAACAGTTCCCAGAGATGAATTTTAATGCTCATTCAAAAGTACAACAAAAACATAATGATTTGAAATCCATCATCTCACTGTCCCAGCAGTTTTTCTTGCTGTTGTTCTCGCCAGGTTTCAGGTTAGCTGGATGATGGCAGAGGAAAGCTGGATTCCCGCGACGCTGCGAAGTGAATCCACCGTGGCCCAGTGCACGAGGCCAGCACGGGAACTGTCCTTCCAAAGCAGGGTGCTCCCAGGACCCAGAAAAGGAGATCAGAGGAGGTCAGATCAGGCCAGAAGCTCTGAGCAAGGAGATGTGTGCAGGGAGCTGCACCTAGGCTCCCAGAGTCCTGGGATCCCTCTGACACCAGAGCATCACACCAATTACAAGGAAGTCCTCATGCACATATGTGAAGGACACACACAGGCACACACATACACATATGTACACATGCATACACAAACATATACAAATACGCATGCACACACACATGGACACATACACGTGGATACCACTTACAAGCATGCACACACACAAAGGCACATATATGCAAATTCGTATACACATGTGTACACACATACACAAACACATGTACAAATACACGTGCATGTACACGGACACATACACATGATACACAAGCACACCACTTGCACACACAAAACACACAAGCACATATACACACACTCACATACACAAATGTGTACATGCATCCACAAACACATGTACAAATACATATGCACATATACACACATGGACACACACACAGAAACATACACACACAGACACATACACACAAGCACTCTCACACAAATGGATACACATGCACACAAGCCCACCACTTACAAGTACAAACACACAGACACATATACACACACATGTACACACACATCCACAAACATGTACAAATACATATCACATACACATGGACACATACACACTTGGACCCATATAGACACACACACAGGCACACTCACACATGGACACACACACACACAAAAGCACACACACGGACACACATGCACACACAAGCACACACATGGGTACACAAGCACACACGGACACACACAAGCACACACACACACACATACATGCACACATACCCAGCCTAGTCCTCTGCATGCGGCACCAGATGGAGAACCGAACAGCCTCCCAGGTCCTCTCGGGCTTCCCCGCCTCAGCATGCGGGGCAGTCCAGGCCGTGACTTTGAGGAAGGATCCCCAGGTGTCTCCTCACGCTCTTGCATGGCCCACCTGAGATGCAGGTGTGCAGAGAGGACCCTTCTCCTCCTGGTGAGTGCGCTGCTCACTGCTGAGAAGCTGGGTTCAGTGTGTGGGACTAAAGTTCCAGCGTGGAACCCTCCCTCCTGCCACCTAGCTCCTCCCGGCTCTCTACTCCTCAACCCACACCAAAGTCCAGAGAAGTTGGCATAAGGTGGGGGCAAGGGGGGCGGTGCAGAGGTGCTGACGAGGCCCATGGGAGGCCCCTCAAGTCTTCTGTCCTCTCAGCCTTTCATAGCCTTTTTCCTGCTGGGAAAATGGCTGTGCCCAGCACACAGGACAGACCCCACTCATTGCCAGGGGAAGGGCAGAGAAGTCCACTGTGCTCAGGTGGCCACAGGCCCACAGGGGCACACAGGCTTCTGGGCACTCTTTCCCCTCCCTCTCTTTCTTTCATTCCTGTAAAACTCAGTGACTGTCAATGCTGCAGATTGTCCTAGCAATAGCTGCCCTTCCCCTCCACGCAGGGATGTGACATGGACTCTGTAGGGTCCCCCCGTCCTTCTTTCCCTCCCACACCCAGGACACTTTGTGCCCAGCCCCTTCCTCAGCACTCACCACACATGCCCAATGCCAGAGCTGGAACTGCTGAGAAAGAAAGGCTCTCCGCCCACAGTGACACACCTCCGCCATGGAGTGTGTCTGCAGGGGAAAGGGACTTGGGGACAATTCTTATCCTGAAGGAAAATGTTCCCGGGCCTTGGAGAATGGAAATCCTTCGTGGTTCTTGCACAACAGACCCTTTCATCTTATTTGAGGAAATATTTGCTTGTTATTAGAATCTATCAGAGTTAACTTTCGTGTCTTGATGGGAAAAGGATTGAGGTTACACCTCCATGAAATGTGGCTGTTAAAGGACTTTCAATGATTGGCTGTCGATAATAGCACGTCATTTCCTATTTTCCTTTGGCCAGAAAGCTGGATTTTTGTGTAAATACGGTAGTCCTGTCAAATGGGAAAGCAGATCCCTTTTTCTTATTCTAGTATTTTCTCTGGGGTTATGAAAACCACAGCATAACCACAATATCAGTGACGGCACTGCCCAGCTTCATGGCACCCTGCCATGCTGTGTGAAGACAGGCTGTGTCTACTGGTTCTCTTTAGGTGGGGTGCAAAGGGACTACAAGAGGCCGTGGAAACACACAGCGCTCGCACTTCCTTCTGGGATGCCGACATGTTACATCTGGGAGCCTGCACACCTCCACCTTAGCGTTTCCATCAAACAAAATGCACGTTTCCGAGGCAGAAGAGCTGGCCAGCCCCCGTCTTATACTCACATCCCTGGACAGTGGCGCTGAGCAGGTGTTCTGTGCCCAGGCCCCGCTACGGCTGGTTTCCTTGAAGATCACCAGGTGGGCTGCAGTTCCTAAGTGACACTTTCAGATGGACGCAGGCCAGGATCTCACATTTACCAGCATGATAATGACATCGGGTGCTAGCCCTGCGGGTAAGATGCCTACAGGGAAGGATCTAGAATTTTATTTCTCTGTCTAACCTGGGTTCAGGGGGTTGGTGGTCCGGGATTCTGCTGCACTGTGGCCTGTGGTGCAGCTGGAATGGCAGGTGTCCTCACAGGCAGCAGGTCTGTCCCTTCCCCGGTGTTAATAGACCTGAGACGTTTCATTTCCACGATGTCAAAAGCTGTTGGTTGTACAAGGCTCTGGCGTGCACTGAAGTCCTAACATTTCTCGTCTAGGAAATGAGTGTCATGCTCAGTGTGGAATGCACAGGCCTGAGGGTGGGAAAGACATGCCACAAGGAATGGGCCTCTCCCCTTACAAAGGTCGCCGGCTGCCCGCTTTGTACAGGCACAGAGGCCCTGTCAGTCACGGCCACCTGTCCCTGGTGTGGGGCTCTGCGCATGACAGCCTGGTCAGGCAAGGGAGCACCCACCCACCAGGGAGGCCCGAGGGAGGCCCAGGGGAGGCCCCGGGGAGGCTGCGACTCCTGCTGGGGCCTGGGGCTAGCAAGGGGCTGGCGAGGGGCTGGTGCCAAGAGGTGGCCTCCCTGAGGCGAACATATCTTCCCTAGGTGGATGACTGCAGACAGCCTCAGCACAGAGGGCCACTGGCCAGTCAGCTCCTGCTGCCAGTGTCCTACACAGCCCCTGCCCTGGCTCCATCCTGAACCCATGGGCTGAGCCAAAGCAGCCAAACAAGGGAGCTGGCGATGAGGGACTGCAGAGTGGTGAGGGGCCCAGGTGGGGTCCAGTGGCCACTGCCACCTATGAGCCCAGAACTGGGAAGTTCCTGGGGTCAGAAACAGAGACTCCGCACCTCCCTCCTGGTGCAGGTCTCGGCCTCCCTCCACGCCACGTCCTCACCCACCTGCAAGGACTGGAGAGGTGCCCCATGAGCCGGGTGCCAGTGCACACTCACACTGACACACTCATGCAAATGCACACTCATACTTGCACACTCACGCAAATGCACGCTCACACTCACACAAACGCACGCTCACACTTGCACACTCACGCAAATGCACACTCACACTTACACAGTCATGCATGCAATTCAGGCTCATATAAAGTCCACACTCGCAAACACAAAACACACTTGAGATTCACAGACACACAGGATTCACACTCACCAGGGTCTACACCCACAAACACACAGGATTCACACTCACACAGGGTCCGCACTCACAAGCACAAAACACAGGATGCTCACACAGGATCCACACACACACGATTCATGCATTGGATCCACACACTCGATCCACACTCACAAACATGCTCATGAGTCACATCACATTCACTCACAAAACCAAACATGCTTCACACCCAGTTCACACTCACACCTGCTTCACACTCACACAGCCACACAACCTACACACGCAAGCACACTCACACATCCAGGTCACCTGGTAACTGAGACTCTGCCAGCGGAGAGCCCCACGGTGGGTCAGCACTGGGAACCCCGCGCCTTCCCACCCAGGCCGGCGTCCTTCCTGGGGCTGGGTAAGTGGTCCCTGCGCTAGTTTCATTGCTGTGATTGGGAAAAGCGGTTCATTTCCCTCCACGGGGTCTCAGCAGCGCAAGGACAGAGCAGCCCCTCGGGGTTCACCCGTGACGATCTCAGTAAGAAAACATGGAGGCGGCCTGCAGAGGGAGGAGGAACAGGGTGCTGTACTGAGATGGAAGGAGAGGGCGCCTGAGCTCTGCCCCCGGGTTTGCGTCTGGCCTGGAGTTGACTTGCCCCCTCACTTCTCTGGCTCCCGCTCTGGGAGGGCCCTGCTATTGGCCCAGGACTCCCTGGTGCAGCAGCTCCTACTGTGCAGGTGGGGTTGGGACCAGACCAGTCAGCTGCCCTCCCAGCCATGATGGGCACCTGACTCCGCTGCTAACTGCCGAGAGGTGCTGCCTGCCTCCGGCGGGAGGACGCTGGTCGGGAGCCCCTGCCCGGCTGCCCTGCCATGCCTGGTGTGCTGCAGATGGGGTGGGGGCCAGGAGTCAGGCAGGCAGGTGTCCAGAGAGAGGC